CAAATAACGCTGCGTTACTCGTTACAAAAGCTATGAAAAATAAACGCATCTCGTTAGTAGTTACTGGTAACGAGTAACGCATGCGTTACTGCGTTACCTGTAAAGAAACGGTAAAGCGCCACCCCTAGTTTCTACAAGAAAACCGCCGTATATATTTTTGCGAAGATAACGGCTGGAACTGATCAGAAACTGTTCGTTATTTAATTTGTAATTTTTCTGCGCCTTAAAAGTTGATTGTAGGCTACCATATGCTAAAACTTTTAATCATTTCTGAGCAACGGTCTAGAAAGTCTGTTCGACCGTATTTATTCATTTTTCTCTGAAACCCAGACGTTCTTAATACAATCTTATACGCGAAAACATGCGTAATTAAACGGGCTTTAAAATGATATGTAGCACACCTTTTCAAACTAATGTCTTCATAAATGTATTGGACATATACTTGACAGGTAGTCCCCGACAAAAACTGATTCTACTTTTGTCAGCACACTCAGACCCGGAATGATTTATACATAGAAAGATGCAGAATTGAAAGGGCTATACAATGAGCTGTAACACATTACTTCGAAAGTTTGCCTTCATAGATGTATTGGACAAATGCTTGACAAGAAGCTCTTACGCTTTAAACACTTCTTTAGTTATTTTTCTGCCATAATGAGAAATTATGTATTTTTCGAAAACATACCATTGGATAGCCCTTGAAATTCTCTACACAGTCAACTGGTCAGAATATTCAGACAGGTGGGAAGATATGAAAAAGAAGCGTTTGGGTGTTATATATGCAGTACAGCGTCTCATAATCACAAGAACTCCTTTGTTTTTGATATTTTAGTAAAGGTTGGAACCGATCTGAATACTGTTTTGTATAGCCCGAAGATTTTTCTATCAGATGAGGTGCGTATCGCCGTTTCATCGGAAAAGTTGATAATAGAGTTTCTGCTAAACCTGACCGCTAGAAAACCAGGTCCTTGGGTTTTGGTCAAAAAAGTTTCCAAACCATATAGCCTGATAGAGCATAGAATTCTGAGACAGATAAGATATCTCTCGGCGGTCTTTAATGGTTTTTCACGCAACTGCAGTGAATATATGAATCGTTATAAAGATCGTGGAACCAACTAGGGGTGGCGCTTTACCGTTTCTTTACAGGTAACGCAGTAACGCATGCGTTATTGCGTTACTAGTAACGAGTAACGCAAGCGTTGTTGCGTTACTGGTAACGAGTAACGCATAATATAGTAACGCTTTAGTCGCATTGTGTCCGGAAGGTGATAAAACAATACATTTTCGGTTGTTCGTCACTCATACGGTGATATTTGAAAGCGTTGCTTTACTCAGTAAAGTAACGCATCAGTAAAGAAAATGTGCCACCCCTAGAACCAACCAAAAAAAATCCGGTGAAAAGCATTAAAGACCGCCAAGAGATATCTTATCTGTCTCACAATTCTATGCTCTATCAGGCTATCTGGTTTGAAAAGTTGTCTAACCAAAACCCAAGGACCTGGTTTTCTTGCGGTCAGGTTTAGCAGAAACCATCCGTTGTCCTATTTCAATGGAAATTCGACAGTCTCTCGACACTGTCGAATTTCCAGCGAAAACTTATCGACAGACTAAAAATTAGACAGATTTTTCCCTCGAAATTCGACACTGTCGAAACACGCTGTCGAAAAGTGCTTCTGTCGAACTGCGAGATTAGCATTAAAGATATTTTTCTAACCACAAATCTAGATCGAATATCAAAATCAGTCTCTATTACCGTCTGATCACATGTGTCAACTTCAGTTTAGGACCTTCCCAAGCTCTCTGCAATGTTTCGTTACCGAGAAACCTTTCAGCTACGAAATGGTGTTAAGGTGAAAGTCGCTTTCGAGGTGCAGTGGCGCCCGTATCAACTGTATGGTTTGGAGCTTCCAGCAAAACTCTTATAACTCTGGTTAGAACATCGTTCAGAGCTGGCAGATATCTCATGTTGATCAGAAATGTTTGTTCTATTTCCCGATGCTATTGAATGTATCTTTGGATTTGTTTTTTATTTGAAAATAAATTTTTTTGATAACTCAGTTTTTCAACGTTTTCAGAAAAGTTTTCTAACAATCTCCATACCCCTTCTATGAGGATCAAATAACATTGGCCTTAAATATTTCATAACCAATCTAGTTAAATTTGGAAATATATACATAAGATTACTGCCCATACTTTTGCTTTCAAGAGTCAAGAATATTTGAGCTAGTAAAAGAAGCGTTATATACGTGTACGTATATCAACATAACGATCAATATGTCAAAATCAACGTTTCTCATAAAACATTTATTCTGTACGGATTAATATCAGAACACTTTTGAACATATCGATTTTTATGGCAAGTACAGTAGAGAAAATCCTTTTTGAAAACTCAAGTGCTCCAGTACTTTTTGGTCTCTGCGCATAATTGAGCGCTCTTTTTGCCTTTAGCTTCAAACTTCGATCTTCTCTTGTGGTGACCACTAATGACGTTAAAAACATTTCTTATAAATCGTATGAAAGATCGTCGATTTCGTCTGAATGGACTAAAACCATCAAATCGACTACCTGCGAAACATAATCTTCGAAAAAAATTTAGTCACATTCTTAAATATAGCCCAGATGAATTACCGTCAAAAGCTGATTTAAGATCCGAATTAACTCCTGTTGAAGATCAATCACAAATTGGAAGTTGGTAAGAAAAACCGTGGAGTGATATTTTCAAGTTAATCACCTTAGAATTTTTATTTTTCTAGTTCAGCAAATTGTCTTGCTGGTAAAGCAAAATATATGTACTTATAACAAAATATTGTTTATTTTCTTCTTTAAGGTGCTTATGAGTATCTTATTAAAAAGCATACAGGTCAAGATAAAGATGTAAGTCGCTTGTTTATGTATTATAATGGTCGTATGAAAGAAAACGATGGCTCTGATAGTCAAATCACAGATTCTGGATGCAGCATGACAGTGGCTATTGAAGCACTGGAAGAATATGGTGCTTGTCCAGAACCCTTATGGCCATACGATATAGCAAAAGTTAATGTAAAACCATTTCCTCATGCTTATCAAGAAGCAAAACGATTTATTATTGACGAAGCTTTACAAATTAAAATTGATCTGTACGAAATGAAATCATGTCTTGCTCAAGGATTTCCATTTGCGTTTGGTTTAAAATTGTTTGAATCATTTGACAAAGCAGCTCACTCGGGTGTTGTGCCAATGCCAAGTTCATCGGAAAGAAGTCGTCAATCACATGGAAGGTATGTTCAATTACTTATTTTATCAGAGAAAAAAAGCTTAGTTTTTTTAAATTTAATTACAGTCATGCATTATTGGCTGTTGGGTTTAGTGACACATCACAATCTTTTATAGTACGCAATTCTTGGGGTGATGGTTGGGTAAGCCTTTCTTGGTCTAATATTCATTGAACCACTGAATTTTTAAGTTTATTTAGGGAGATCGTGGATATTGCTATATTCCATATGATTATTTAACTAATAGCGAACTGTGTTTTGATTCATGGACAATTAGAAAAATATCGAATAATGATTTTGGTTCTGATCATTGGGATAACGAAGATTCGATTGATTACAGTCAAGCTAATAATTGGAACGATAACGATAACATTTATGATGAAGATAATAATGGAAGAACGATTGAACATTTAGAAGACGATGATGACAACAATAATCAGCCGTATGGATATTCTGACAATTATAATAATCAGACGTCAGATAATCGTTTTGGTATTAACGATGGTGGATGGCGCCAACAACGTTGCAAACGAAGCGACGATAATGATTATGATAGGGATGGATATAGTCAAAATAATTATTATGATGATAATAGTGGCTATCAACAACAACAACAACAACAACAACAACAGAACGATAATTACAATTACAATGATCAGTATGGAGATAACCGAAATTTTGACGCCAATAACAGTAATTGGCAAAGGGATAATGATTTTAGCGATGGATTTGGCAACACCTATGGAACAGGATTCGGATATAATCGTTAATCGTATACGTGAACTGATTGAATAACAAAATGATAATTATACAGTTATTTCTGTTTCTGTTCGTTTAACTACAAAGTACTGTAATCAACTGTAGAGATCATATATATATATATAAATATGAATAAAATTCATTCCATGCTCGAGGACCTTTTCGTGGTCTAAAAGTTGGGTTAGTTCGGGATAATGTCAGGTAGAGGCAAGTTTTCAGTGACCAAATTTTTGAGTCATTGGAATGCTAGAGTACATATGCAACAAATAGGAAGACGGAAGAATATCCCACATTGCGTTACTGATGGTGGAGTGCTGCAGAATGGCATTTTCTCCCAGCCACTCGAGGAGCTGTATTGTACATCATACTGTAGTAAGTATGGTGTCGGATGGGTGATCCAAGGTACATGAATATAAGCAACGTGCGCAAGGTTATTATATGACTTACCGGCGCTGCGGTTCGAACACAGTACCTTTGAAGTACGGACCGAACAACATAACCATCAAAAAAATAATATAATAAAACTACTTTCTCCAAAACCATCAAAATTGAGAAATAATCTATTAATTCTAACCATACAGGACAAAATTTGACAAGTTAAGGTGCCACCATCGTTGGTATCACAGTCGCTTATATAGTCAAGTCTGAATGATAATGATAAATGATGAATGTTTGGAACGTTCAATCTAAAATACATTTTCATATGTTCATTGAGTAATATTATCACATGTTAGGGTCAATATTTCCACTCGATCATATCCATTCAAAATACTATCAAAAAACGATAAAGAGTTTCCATAATAAAAATTCACAGTAACTTCTACTCTATTTATATACTTCGTATGTTCATCTAGCCAGATTTGTCCATTTTTCTGCAGATTATACATTGAATTGTACTTAAAGTATGATTTTTCATTGTAAACATACGCTGACACAAGGTCGAGTGACGTATGCAACGAACGTTTACTGAAAACATGTATTGTCGCTTGTTTTACCAATTGAACATAGTTGAAAAAATTGAATATAGTAGAAACAAGGTCTTTTGGTTTTTGTTATAGCCTCTTATTGGATTATTTTTTTGTTAAACACGATTTGAACAAGAATTATAACTAAAAAGAAAGAGAGAGATCATCTTTAATTTTAACGTTAATATTTCTATATTATCGTCTTTTTAGGTTTATGGAGACTGTTTCTTGTGAAATAAAATATTAGTAATTATGTTACTCGTGCAAATTGCATGAAAGAGAACAACAGATAAATTTAAATTACGTATTTTCGAAATGACTTAATGAAACTGTTTTGAAACCTGACGAAATTTTACAGGAGGTGAAATACAAGTGATAGTCGCATCTGTCTCTCGTAGTATACTCTATGAAAAAGATCCATGGGGAACGAAAAAAATTAATTTCTTTATAACAGAAAAATCTGACAGGACATTTAAGAGCAGAACTGACGCTGAACTTTGACAAAGTAATAGTTTTCTACGGAAACTTTCAAGTTTTACGTGACGTTGTATTTTTAGATTAAAAAAGTCACACCAAGCAAAGTAAATATTATACTGAATGTCAGTATCGTCAATAAGACTTTAAATAATTGCTTAATAAAAATACTCTGCTATATGATCGACGTTTCAGTTGCATTATTATCTACTTGTACCTGAACTGCTTTTCACATCTTCTAGATTATATTTTCTATCCAAGATAATACCAATAATCAATAGGAAGAAAACAGCACCGAAAAAACCAGATGATGTTTCGAAGAAAAAAATAATTCAGAACGCATCAATTCCTATAAGCAAACAACAAAAATTACCACCAAAATCAAGAAAAGGACCAACAAAACCACAACGACAAATACTGCAATCAGCCAGAAAAAGTATGTTTTTAAACGCGTAGTTTATGTATAAAACTTTCTATTTTCAGAAATAAATAAAGTTACATTGGATATGTGTGTCAATATGAATGATAATCTTCCTACGCCATCAAGTAGTACTATTGTTGATGATGTCGACGTCGATAATGATTGCGATAGCAACATGCAAATCGACGGTAGCATTTAGTCTACTTCTACAAACCGTAATTTGTTCCGTTTTTTTAATAATTTAGTTTTAGTAGGCGATAAATTATTATCGACATTAATAATTGGCGATTCAAAGATTTCTACTCAAGCAAACACAACTATCTTACATAATGCGAGCGATGATAATTTAATTAACAACGGAAGCGATAAAACATCGAATAATCAGGCAATCGATGATTTAACGGTTGAATTGCAAAGTTTAATGGACGCCAATGTTAAACTCCAAATAGAATGCAATAATGTGCTATCATTAAAAGATATCAATGATAAACTTCGTTTAGAAAATGATATGATACGTCTTGAAATAACCGAATTACAAAATCATCGATTACATAGGTCGCTCTATCTAATTTCTCTCAGACAACATAGTCATGTTGTTTGAAGTAAAATTTGTAGATTACAGAGTGTAGCAGCTTTTCAGAAATTATACATCTATCTAATACCTAGTTCTTTAACATTCTCGTCTTTTCTTATAATTTCAATTTGTGATACAAGTTTAAAATGATTATCGACTTACTGTCACTTTCTCTATTTTTTTTTATATGAGTAACCCCGAGATTGCTTGAAATTAAAAATTGCACGACTTCTATATATTTTGCTTTCCTGGTAGCATGAAGTTCTCTGAAATTATATAATTAAACTAAACCCCGGCATATAGAGATGCAGCTATTCTGCTAAAATGTTCGCTGATCTATCTGAACATAATCTTAACCCTTTAAAGCCCAATGTCCATTTGAATGGACATTGCCATTATCATTATAACAAACTAAGGAAGCATTGTTGGGAAATACTGATCTTATATCGGTTGTAGAGAATTGAATTGGCTATCGCATAATAAAAAAAATTTGTTTATGTTGTATGCTAGCTGAGATATTCAACTTTTAAAATGAAGAAGATTTAGAAAAAATTCACTTTTTTTAATTTACTTTTTTCAGGTACTTTAGAAAAGGCTGTTTGTTCAATGACTTTTCAGAAATATGTAGGGAGATGTGCTCTTTCAAATTATGTCAGCTAAATAAATTATTGTTGGAAACTGTAGGCTACTGATGGCACAAAACGAAAGGGTATATTTTGCTGGGACTTTGGTCTCCGTTTCTTAATCATTCTTGATTTTCTTCACCATCTCAACTTATTTTCTGTCTCAACTTCATCAAACATAATGGTCTAAATTTAGATACCTTTGGTCTTTGGTTTCTAACGAGAACTTCGAAAAAATAATTTTCCTCGAATTTTTATTGTAAATTTAAATTATAAAAGCGTAACTTTTTTAAAAATGAAAAGTAATTTTGTTCAAGCATGAGAAAGTCATATCGAGGTCTCAAATGTTCCATTTTCATAAGCGGTTGACCCAAAATCAAGCGTTGAAGCCTTGGGGACTTAAAGGATTAAAGATCATTCGTTACACAGATGAAAATGCTGTGGAAAGAGTGTCTTTTTATATACTGTTTCTCTTCGTTACTAGCTGTAGCACCAGAAGCCGTTCGTCAATACTTCAAAACCGTTCTTAAGCATATTAAATTTACTGAAGAACAAAGTACGGGACCAGTTGCAGGGGTAAGCTACTTTAAAAACAGAGGTCTTTGAAATTAAAGAGACGCTTTATGTTCAATAGTGTTCACAACTACTCCCATTGACAGCAGAAGAAATAAAGATATGCTTTGATCCCGAAAGTTGGTCAACAACAACACGCAATCTTGTGAAGAAGTGTTATACGACAATTGATTTTGACAACGATAAAACATCCTATATTGAACTTCTGAAAATTAATAAAACAATGATGAAAACAATACAAAGTAAATAGAAAGAACAGCGAAGGAAACAGAGACAACATGGCTGGAATTTGCTGTATAGGACCCTCAATTGCAAAGTGTTAAAGATTGGCGCATCTAGTGATAAAAATCTATGAAGAAATCTAAAATAAAGTCTAAAAGTCCTTCCATTTCCCTTGTCATACTGAGATTCAGAGGTGGGCAAGTCTGGGGTTCTAAAATATTGATTTAAATTTAAAAATTTAAAATACTGTTTTTTAAAATGAGTGAAAGTAAACAAAATTTTCAATAAAACTCAAAATTCGACTTGTTTGTCTTCTCTTAAAATTTAAACACCGATTTTTCTTCTTATTCTGCATCCAAATTCGACTCTTAGAAATTTTCTTTTTAGAATTTTGGAACTTGAAACGGGCTCAAAATCAAAAGTCAAAAAGTTGGGATTTGATCCAGAAAATGGCAAAATACAGGCCCAATTTTGTTTTTGCCCTCCAAAATCCTGGGACTAGATAGATTTGCAAGAGTGGTGGGGAGAACTTTTACTATGCGTCTCATGTCCGATAGATTTTGAGCCCATTTCAAGTTCCAAAATTCTAAAAAGAAAATTTCTAAGAGTCGAATTTGGATGCAGAATAAGAAAAAAATCGGTGTTAAAATTTTAAAAGAAGACAAACAAGTCGAATTTTGAGTTTTATTGAAAATTTTGTTTACTTTCAATCACTTAAAAAAAACCAGTATTTTAAATTTTTCGTATCAAAAAATGTGGACTAAAATTATGAAATTGACTTTTTCGATGTAACTTGGTGGGCTTCGTAACTTGTCTGTACAATTACATTTTTTTACACTCATTCCGTTCCTATGAACCGATTTCTAAAAATGTTTTGTATTCTCTTACTTCCATTTTGGCTCACTATCACAGAAAATTTCGCAACGATATTTCATCAACTCACTGAGATGCGTCAAAAGTCAAAAATATCCATTTTTTCGTTGACTCATCAGAACATGGAATGGAACAGAAAATGGATTTTTTTAACGAAAGAAAGAAAAATGAAAAAAAGTAGCACGTTTGGTAAGAAAAAGAAGATTTATCAAAAGAAAGTAATCTATGCACATATACGCAAACAACACTTAAACTATATTTCGGTAATATGAATCATTCGTATTTACTATGCGCTGTTACATTTCCAAAGACAAAATTTTGAGAATAAAACAAATATGTATTTTAATCTTTTTCTTTGTGTCAGCAAACTCTGTGATATTGTTTCATCGAAATTAAATTGTTTCGTGTACTGTATTCAGTATGCGTATGAGGAAAATAATAATCTCTCCTAAGAATTAATTAATTAATTAATTAATCCTAGAATGAATTCTGGTTTTTAACTGGAATCGTATGAAAAACTATTTGTACGCCGAAACAGAAACTGTTCAGTTTCTTCTGTACAAGCAGTCATTAATAAGATCATAACGCATAGACATTGAGAAAGAAATTCTCTAATTTCTCCTTGTGTATACCTACTTTACTTATCAGAAAAAAAAGATAAAGATGATCATCCAAAATGGGTTGAGCAACCAGCAAATGGAATAGATCTAGAAGGTTCAAACCTTAGGCAATATGTAGAAGCTAAATATTTAGCTAAAGGGTTAAGAGAAGTAAAAGATAAGCCAGTACATGAAATAATTCGACGTTGTATTTATCTTTACAGAAGAAACGTTTCTTTATAAAATAATAGATAAACCATTAACAGAACAAGACAACAGTAAAGTAAATACATTAGGTGCATTTTGTTTCGACCGAAATTTTTGCGGAAAAGTTCGAAAGAATTGAAAGTTGCGCAAAAATCCTGAGACACACATCAATCAAGTCAGCTTTTGATGCTGATTCCAAATATGACATTGGTTCTGCAAAAAAAATGAAAATTTGACAGTGAAAACTACAAAATACAAGTGAATTTTCTTGTTTTTTGCTACCTGTTTCAAGAAAATTAATTTTCTCAACAACGGAGCAATATTTTCCAGAACCGATACTAACTTTTTCCCCACAAGTGTGACGTCTTAAATAAAGAAAAACAAACTTGCCTAACTGCTATTCAAAAAAACTAGATAGAAGACTTACAAGAAGTTCGGATGGCGTTCCAGCCGTTCTGCCCGGTCTTCAGCGATTTCAGTCGGCCAATCAGATTCTAAAAGTATCTGAATTACTTTTTATATTCAATTTTGTATGTAAAATCAGAAAAAAATAGTATCAAAATTTTAAAAAGACAATAAACCCTGAACTTTTGCTTTTTTTTTCAAAATTTGGCTGAATTGTGCCCATTTTTTAAAAATCAGTATTTTAAAATTTTTTAAGTGAGAAAAGACTTTCAGAAATCCACATTTCAGTTTTTTCTAGGTAACTGGATGAGCTCAATCTAATGATAAAAAAAGATCAAGAAAAGAATTTTGCTTATCTTTTGAATTGCCGGCACCTTAAATATTAAGTGCAAATAAATATAGTTGAGGATAAGGTATTTTCTTTAAGGAAAACAATGTAGTAAAAAAGTGTGTAATAAGTCATAACATTTTTCGAGCTAGTAATCTGGTTTCAGAAAATAGAGAAATGGTTTTTGTACGTGGTGACGTCGTTGGATTTTTAAAAGTAAATCAAATCTCTCTAACTTATTGGAAACTTTTTAAATTCCTCCTAAAGTAAACTTAAATTGAAAAATCCAATAACGTCAGGACATAGAAAAAGCATTTCTCTATTTTTCGAAACCAATTCGAAATGTCTAGCTCGAAAAATGGCGGCGGAATCTTGGCAGTACGAAACCATACCTTTTCACCGCTAATTTAAGAATAACTCTGGGAAAACAAGTGATAAGAGGCTGTAATTAGTAGAATGACTCACGAGGAAACCTCACCAACTGATACCCTCCGGGTGAGCTCATACTCTGCTCATAGGTAGGACTCATAGTGTAGATAAAAACTCTAAAAGGATTCATCCCCTTGACTCTTGAAGACCTGGTTTTCTGGAAAAACAGTTTTTCAGAAACTCTAAAAAATAAC